TATATCCAACCCTACTCCTATAACCGGGTTGTTTTGACTATATAGTGGTTCTCAAAATAGTGTGGAATAAAACTGATATTTATACAAGCGTTACATTCAAGAATTGTTTTAGGTTTAATTTTCTTGTTTTGCAAGCTATTTAGTCATAAATTGCAATTTATTCATTCAAAGACAGTCTTAATATAAAATCAGTTTGTTCTAAAATCTTCTTTAACATCTGTAAATAGACTCGACCAAAGAAGAGAAGACCTGTATCCCTGGAGTCAGGTTCGGAGTTTACTCCCCTAAGCCCTGAAGGACGGGAATGGTTAAGAGCTGGGTTGAAGATGGAGTACAGTGCCCTGCTTAAACTTGCTACCGGAGATCCGCGTCTAGTTTCAGTCAGGTGTTACTTACAGCTTTTTTGTCCATTCTGAAAGGGACTGTACGCGTACTTTCAATGAACCGTCTCCATGCAAAGATGACAATTCCCGATTTACAACGGTAACATTGAAACAATAATCTGATCAAAAATGTAGATAATATTGTCACTTTTCTGACTCGAAATGTCTTAGATTCTGATATTTTTCTTTTGCTTCTTATTAGCAAGGAATGCGCAAGTCACTTTCGCAGAGAAACCGCAAATGAAAATAAATAGTTAAACGAAACAAAAAATATGATAAATAACGTGGTATACCTAACAGGCAAAGCTTTTAAAGATACTGAACTGTAAAACGGGCTTTGCCGTCTTGGCATGGAGTGTTACTTGAAATGATGCTTTGCTTACAGTTTCATTAACTTTATACTTTTAATATTTTCCTTTACAAACATATATATCTTTCCTTTACAAACATATATATCTTTCCTTTACAAACATATATATCTTTCCTTTACAAACATATATATCTTTCATTTACAAACATATATATCTTTCCTTTACAAACATATATATCTTTCCTTTACAAACATATATATCTTTCGTCTTCATTTCTCTGCTTCAACTGCTATCGATTTTATTTCATCTCTAGTAAGACACTTAATAAAGTCCAATGAGTATTCTCTAAGCAATTGTGCAGTGTACACAGACCCATTTAATTTAATTAGTTGATTTTTAAGCTATTCGTAAAACTTTTACAAATAACAAGATTACATACACATAATAATGTTTAAATGTCGTCTTCTCTCTCACGGTTTTTTTTAATTCACCTGCCCTTTTTTTCAAAATATCTTGATGTAACTGATTTTCTACTTAAAAACTTATTTTTTCTCCTTTTACATTTAATTCCAGAAAAAAAGGTATTTTTTCAGATCTTTTCTTTCATATTTTTCATCCATTAATTTGTTGCAATTTAAAAAAAACTTTTTAAGAGACCCGGCTAATGGATATACAGCTCTTCACTGGGCTGCAAGGAAACCTTCTTTTTTCGTTAAAAAATCTTTTTCCTACAGTGATTACCAGAAAACTCTGGAAAAGGAAGTCGACTTTTAGACTCAAGTTATGACTTAAAATAGTCCCATAACCTTGAGACACAGAAATTGCGCAGTGTAAACAGACCTAGATATCATATTCACTTTATCATTGCTTTAATGTCGTCTAGCTTTTCTACAGTTTTCTGGTTCTCACTGTATTTTCCACTAAAATTCCACGGAAAAATTAAGGAGTAATGGAATATCTTACTGATATCAATTGAGTAAAAAACGAAATTCATATTTTTACATTTTTTTCCAAATAAAAATAACTAAAAAAGTAAGATTACAGATGGGGCAGGGGGGAGATAGTAAAACTGCTTGCTGGAAAATTTAATCAGAACCCAGATATAAAAACCAGGGGTGGATATACTCCACTCATGCTGGCGGGAATGTGGAAACATTTTGAGGTACATTTTTTGAACAGCTTAAAGGGGACCTATGTGAAAAATAAAGAGATGAAAAATTAGAATTTTACAATATGTTACCTCTTAGGTGTACAGACTACTGGTGGAAACTTATAAAGCAAATGAAGAAATAAGAGATTACAGTGGGCACACTCCTTCCTACTACCTAGAGAACAATATTCAGGTAAACCTTGTACTCCAGGTATACATTGGAGTAGATACACTCCTTCCTACTACCTAAAGAACCATATACAGGTAAACCATGTACTCCAGGTATACATTGGAGAAGATACTCTTCTTCCTACTACCAAGAGAACCACAAGTAAAAAATACTTAATCAAGGAGTAATTTTATTTAAGAATGTATTAAAAAATTAAATGCAATTTAATATTTAAGGTTCCAGGGTTCCCCCCAATTCAAGATATGTCACATGATGTTCCTTCTAAGGACGTTACGGATTCTCCGGGTCCAGGTGGGAACAAGGTTCATCGTTCATCAACCGTATTCATCCGGGACTTCAAGGATAGTCTCAGGGAGAGTTTCCGGGACGGATTGAGAACTGGTATCCGAGATAATCTCCGAGACGGGTTAAAGACTGGTATCCGAGATAACCTGAGAATATCAAAGCAGAGGAATAAATCTACCTCATCAAATAAAGGAGATATGTAAGATATTAATTTTAGAAAACAAGAAAAATGCAAATATACAAATATCTACAGTACATAAATATAAACACGAATAAATATTGAGACCAATTAGTATTTTTATTCCTTTTAAAAACTAATTTGATAGAAAAACATATTTAATGAATAGTTTTCGTTGTAATCATGGATGGCGGAGTGAGGGGAGGGGTGAGGCGGGGGGGGGGTGATAGAGTTTGGGTTAGATGCAATAGATATCTTTATTTGGAGGGGTAAAAATAAGTTTAAAAATCTCTTCATTGATCTAGGTTTTCTCTTTATGAATATGAAAAATAAACCGTGAATATTCAATAATCTTTTATTGATATCCTGTTTTATGATTATGATATCCTGTTTTATGATTATGATATCCTGTTTTATGATTATGATATCCTGTTTTATGATTATGATATCCTGTTTTATGAATATGATATCCTGTTTTATGATTATGATATCCTGTTTTATGATTATGATATCCTGTTTTTTTATCGATATTATTTAATTAGAATAATGTTAGTTTAAAAAAAATATGGAATTATTGAAAAATGTATGTTTAATCCTGAAGATTAGTTCCCCCCTGTTTCATGTAGAACCCGGAGATAAGCTCTCTAAACCTTATCCTTCTCATTATCCTAGTTCACTTCTAAACTTCTCCTTGATATTGATAATAAGTCCGGAAACTACTCTCCAATTCACAATTCACAATGACTTGCCGATTTATGTTGCAATAAAATTATGGACATTTCAAGAACTAAATCTTTCTAATTGTTACTCAAATAGAGTTGCAAAGAGCACTGTTGTAAACCGCACAAGCTATCCTATAATTAGAGATGATGAAACTACTACAACTGCCTCTTTAAGTATTTTATTATTTTGTTACCTGTTCAAAAATAATTCAAGGTTTTCTAAATTTTACAGTTTCTCTTCTTACATTTATCATAAAATCTCTCTGCTTCTCCTTCTATACATAAATTTTGTCTGTCTGGGTGGGTGTTTGTTTGTTTGTATCCAATAAACGTCAAAACGGCTGAACCGATCGGGCCCAAATTTGTGTGGAACCTTTGTGTATGAATGATCAAAATTTTAAAAATTTGGGCTTAAAAGTTTTTTATTTTTGTAAAATTTTGAAAATGCGCGAAAAAATATTATGAAATTCGCAAACATTTTTTGGTTTTTTTATACTGTACAAAGAAAAGATGCTCACAAATAAAGCCACAATAAAAAGTCGAAATAGAAGATGGGCGCGAAGCGTCTGAAAAGCCTAGTAATTTAACAATTACTTTTTGTTCAACTTTAAAAATTACACAGAAAATGATAATATTTTGGGTTTAAAGATAATTATTAGTTTTTTTTTTAAATGGAGAGAATTTCCCTTGAAAAAATTAAAATTATCACCAGCACAACCCTTTTCTTTGACCTATCCCCCCCCTCCCACCCTCCTCGAATAGATTAGAAAAACTAAAACCATGAAAACTGTCCCTGGAACACTCTTTTTTTAAATGTTGCCCCCCCCCCNCTCTCTCTCTCTCTCTCTCTCTCTCTCTCTCTCTCTCTCTCTCTCTCTCTCTCTCTCTCTCTCTCTCTCTCTCTCTCTCTCTCTCTCTCTCTCTCTCTCTCTCTCTCTCTCTCTCTCTCTCTCTCTCTCTCTCTCTCTCTCTCTCTCTCTCTCTCTCTCTCTCTCTCTCTCTCTCTCTCTCTCTCTCTCTCTCTCTCTCTCTCTCTCTCTCTCTCTCTCTCTCTCTCTCTCTCTCTCTCTCTCTCTCTCTCTCTCTCTCTCGATCGATCGATCGATCGATCGATCGACTCGTGAGTTGTCAATTATCAGAATGCGCCAAATAAATATCAAAATGCGACTTTTGAATCTGAAAAACAAAAATATATGGTGATTTTGTTAAAATATATCAAAAGACTGTTATATTTTATGTGAAACCATCCTGAAAAGTAACATAATTTTTCCTTTAAGCTCGTGTGCTAAGGAAGATATTGTGGAATGTTTTTCTTCTAAATATAGTAGTTCTCCAGATTTTAAAGATATCCATGTTTTTCTCTGTAAATATAGACATTCATGTTGTGTGACATGTAGAATTAGAGATATTCATGTTTTTCTTTTTATATTTTGTAATCATGCAGAACTTAGAGATATTCATGTTTTTTATTTGAATATAGTTAATTATTATTAAGAAAATAGAAATATTTATGTTTGTCATCAAAAAAATTGTAATAAATTAAAAATTGTAATACATGAAAAACTGTAATAAATTAAAAATTGTAATAAATTAAAAATTGTAATAAAATAAAAATTGTAATAAATTAAAAATTGTAATAAAATAAAAATTGTAATAAATTTAAAATTGTACAGTAAAACCCTTAATAACGAATACATCGGAAGAATTCATCAAATGTCGTCTTGACAATTTTTCAATGAGTTTTATACTATATTAGGTAAATTTCAGTATTTGCGAAAATAAATAAATAGCCATGAATATGTGGGAACAGTTTTAAAGAGTTTTATATAATCATTTAATTAAAAAACTAAATATCTGAAACATTCCATTATCAGAAAGTGAAGAATACGACATTTGATGAATTCTTTCGATGTATTCGTTATTAAGGGTTTCACTGTAATAAATTAAAAATTGTAATAAATTAAAAATTGTAATAAATTAGAAATTGTAATAAATTAGAAATTGTAATAAATTAAAAAAGTGTTGAATTCTTTTAAATTCCTTTTTTGCTTCTACTGCATAAATACTCAATTCGTTTTTTAAATGAAAAGATAATCAATTTTTTAGATGGAAATATTAACGTCAGTTTAATGTTCAGACGGCGCAACAGGTTAAAGGGTAAGCTGTTGTGAATCGAATATCAAACTCTTTAAATACAGTAATACAAGAAAAATTGCTCAAACATTGGTATGCTGGAGAAAATTAGCGTATCGGAATCTGTCCTTTTGTTTTCTAGTCTATCTATCCTATCTATCTATCCCCCATATATCTGAGCCATATTTCTGAATTATTTTGTGTGTCACTGAAATTTAATTAAAGTGATGGTTCCCGGAATTGTACAATACACCGTTCATATACTCAATTTAATCTCGCACTTAGTAGATCAGTCTTCTATCCCTGGGGGGTGGAAGGAGTTCTGTAGACTCAAAATTATCGCAATTAAAAAGGGTTTATATACCAAAAAGAATCATCAAGTTTAAAATTTGAAAAAATGTTTCAATAAAAATATATTTCTAGGAATAAACTTCGCCACTTGTCATCATTAGAGTCAATCCCCCCTCCCTCTCCCCCCCTTGCTGATAGTACATACCCCCTACCCCCCCTACAGTGCACTATCACCATTTAGGATTTCCCCTTTGGGGATTGTATCAGACAGATGTGCACAGTGCACCTTTCTATAATATACAGACCATAGATTAAATATTATATCGAGGATAGGAAACTGCACCTCTTCTATAATATACAGACCATAGATTAAATATAACAAGGAAAGGAAACTGCACCTCTTCTGTAATATACAGACCATAGATTAAATATAACAAGGAAAGGAAACTGCACCTTTTCTATAAACATGGATTATAAATAACAAGGATAGAAAAGTGAACCTCCTCTATAACTTCTTCTGTCGTCTATGAACATGGCAGGCATCATATCTGTAGTATATGTTGTCTATAAACTTAACAGCTATTAGATCTGTAGTCTATGTAGTCTATGAACTTTTCATCTATTAAATCTATAGTCTAATTAGTCTATGAACATATAAAAAACTGGGAATACACCCTGAACTCTCTTCATGACCCACCCATGGAACATATCATCATAAAGATGGATTTAAAAACGCCCCCAACTCCTTTCCACTTTTATAATAAAGATCAATCTCATCATTTATACTTTTTTGTAGCCCTTACCATGTGCAGTTTAGAATTCTAAAGTTCTTTCTTAGCTTTAGTTGAAAAGAAGTAATTAGCAAAATTCTAATTTAAAGTGGATTAAAGGGGGATCTAAGGAACTTTAGACGCAATTTCAAGCGACCCCTGATTTCAAGTTGAAATGTCTGAATTCTGATTCACCTCGCGGTCATCTTTAAACCGTTATCCAAAAGAATAGAATATATATTAAAGTGGAATTTACTAGAAAAAAGTGTAAAACGACCATTTTGTTCTAATGTTTCCATACTGCAGGTGTACTTCACATATTTGTGCTATATAACCTTTTGGGCCCTGGGCTCAGGAAAAAATGGTCCTTCTTGTAAAAATGGCTAATTTACAAAAACATCCTTTTTTTTCAAAATTAGCCGTTATATGATTGAAAGATGTATGAAAGATGAACAAGAAGAAAGAGAAGAAGAAATATAGAAATATCAAAATATTTTCACCTGATGTCATATTAATATTCAAAACTATTGTAAAATTTAATTAAAAATAAATTATTAAAGTTAAAAAACCTTTTGAGCCCTGGAATATCATTTTATAGAAAATCTTAAATTAATATTAAAAGAAAACCAAATTATGAAATAGGCTGGTTTAATAATTGTCCAATGATCATTTCACATAGACTCTATGCCTTTCACTTTACAAACGATGATTTTCCGTTATAACTATAAATTAAATGATGTTTTTTATTCACCTAATTCATTATAAAGTTTATTTAACAGTTTAAAAAATTCGAACTTGAAATGAATAGTCTAGGGAACATACTTATTAATGTACTCTACTGCACAAGGAGAATTGAATACAAGGAGGGGGCAATAGGGTTTCCGTACACTTTGCTGTGACGTTTTTGGACTGCTGGAGAACTAGTTTTTGCGTAACAACAATAATAAAGATTGTAAACAATAACACAAATGATAAACAGACATTGGTGCATCTCTGCGTTAGATGAAGATTCGCCGTATACTAACTCATGTTTGTTTACATTAGATCGGCTGCCTTTATTATTGTTGTTACGCAAAAACTAGTTCTCCAGCAGCCCAAATACGTCACAGCAAAGTGTACGGAAACCCTATTGCCCCCTCCTTGTATTCAATTCTCCTTGTCTACTGCATATAATTTGTGAACATTTACATGATTTGTACACTTTGAACTCCCTTTCAGGCTGAAAGGGGGGTTACAAAATTCATACCAAGGGATTGTCTAAATTCCACTCTAATATATATATTCTATTCTCTTTGCCTTTATCTGAGCAACATTGAGAAAAATATCGTCGTTTTTTTTATTTTCTTCCTTGCCTCTGCTGCACATAACCACAAGTGACTGGTTTAGAGAAACCACCAAATTATCAATTATTAAATAAGCATGAACATTTTTGTTATTATACAGAGTTACCCAAAGAGGATGACAATCTTTAATAACGACTAAACTAATTGAATATGATATGTCGAAGGTTGAATTTTGTCACCTGCCATGTTTTAAGTCTTAAAATAAAACACTAAAATGATTTGAAAAACAGAGAAACAAGTTTAAGCCGCAGGAAACCGAGAATATATAAATTCCGAGCAGTTGGGAAAATCCTGAATTTCAAGGTTAGAATATTTCTAGATCCTATACTCAAAGTATGAATTGAAAAGACAGAATAGGACTACAGTTATATGATGAATTTAATGAATTGAATGAATTTAAAAAGCGTATCAAATCCACCAAAAACCGGTTTCAATTGAGCGCCGGCTTAAATCTTGAAACATTGAATACAATTTTAAGTGGAACCAACCATATTTGAGCCGCGGCTCAAATTCTTTAAATTCGGCCTCAGAGGACATAGAAGACAACATTATAACAATACTTAAAGTATTGATGTTGTTTCACAACAAATAGTTTTATTAAATTCTTAAACACTTATTAAATAACTAATTTAATGAAATGGGTCTGCTTGCACTGCACAATTGCTGTGTCTCATGCTCATTGTACTCTTAAAGTCATAGTTTGATCTTTAAAGTCTTTTTTTCTATTCCATAGTTTTCTGTAAATAAAATTAAAGATTTAATAAAACAATCAATTATTTAATCAAAAAACATTTTAATGAACAATTTAACAATTTGAACAGAATGAGCAACTGAAAACAAAAATGACAACTGCGGATGTCAAAAAAGCTCTTGGAGAAAGCTGCAGCTTGTTAAACAGCTGAGAACAGCTGTTCAGGACAGAAAAAAGACGACATTAACTGCAGCTGCAGTCTGTATTACAGGAGTCAGGACAGTCGCTCTTAGGATCACACTCGTACCAGCATTTACTAAAAAAATAACAATTAAAAAATGTACGGGGAAAGTATATTTTGGCGCCAAAAATACTTACCAATCCTTAGGCCCCTCCTCAGGTGGAACACAAGTATTGCTGCGGTCATCAAAGACGAGTCCCTCTGTGCATCCGAGCTCATTTAAGTCCTTGGAGAAATAGCAGGTGAGGTACTTCCTGCAGGAGGTCGGATGGGGGAAGGAAGGATGGGCGAGGGGTTGACCGTTAGGTCCTAGAGTCTCTCCATCAGGGCAGCTGAACCCTAGTATTCAAATTATGTAAAATTCTAGATTTTTTTTATAGTTTTAAACCAAAGAAAATCAGTTTTTGCTATAAACTCTATTATTTTATTCTTACATCTTTGCAAACAGATGTTGTAGACCTTTGATAACTATGTTATCTGTTAGATCAAAACGTTTAAAATATCAAAGGTTTGAGTCATTAGAATGCAAAGATATAGGGATAAGAAAATTTGAGTTTGTGGCAAAGACTAAATTATTTAAAAAAAACTTTAGTTTTTTATATTTAAGGACATTTTATGAAACTTTTTTTTACAAATCTAATTCCTTCGATCTCCTCTTTGACGTCGCTCTTCTCGCACTTCTTGGCGAAGGAGGAGGCTTGTTCCTCCCTGACACAGGTTCCTTGGGCCTCGTCGAACACAAGAGGGGGAGGACACTCGTAGGCGTGGGGGAATCCATGTACACAGTTGTAGTATCTAACAAAGAAACAAGTATTATTCCACTGTTTTCTGATCACCACTGCATAATATTGTTAATACACTGGCCAGCTTAAATATCAAAACAGGTTACAGAAATTGTGATATACAATTTCAAAACATGATAATTCATTGGTTATACATGCACTTTAGTATCTGATATTGTTATTAAAATAGATGTCAGCCTCTGTATTATATTCCCATTTTAGTATCTGATACTGATATTAAAATATATGTTAGCCTCTGTATTATATTCCCATTTTAGTATCTGATAATGATATTAAAATATATGACAGCCTCTGTATTATATTCCCATTTTAGTATCTGATACTGATATTAAAATATATTACAGCCTCTGTATTATAACCCCAGGTTAGTGTCTGATACTGATATTAAAATATATGACAGCCTCTGTATTATAAATAATAATAATAATAATAATAATAATAATAATAATTATAAAGATAATAATCCTACTTGTTGCAAATCAGAGGATCTTCATGGTTAAAGAAACCGTTAGCTCTGTAACATTTAATATCTAGTCCAGGTTCAGGTTCCTCTAAAATAGATCATTTCAGGTCATTTCAGGCCATTTCAGGTAATGTCAGATAATTTCAGGTCATTTCAGGTAATTTCAAGTCCTCTCAGATCATTTCAGGTAATTTCAGGTCACTTCAAGTCATTTCAGGTAATTTCAGGTCGTTTCAGGTTATTTCAGGTCATTTCAGGTCATTTCAGGTCATTTCAGATTTTTTAAAGTCATTTCAGGTCCTTTCAGGTCATTGCAGATCATTTTAGGTCATTTCAGGTAATTACAGGTCACTTCAAGTCATTGTAGGTCATTTCAGGTCATTACAGGTCTTTTTAGGTCATTTCAGGTCATTTTAGGTCATTTCAGGTTATTTCAGGTCATTTCTGGTCACTTCAAGTCATTGTAGGTCATTTCAGGTCATTACAGGTTGTTTTAGGTCATTTTAGGTCATTTCAGGTCATTTCAGGTTATTTCGGGTCATTACAGGTCACTTCAAGTCATTGTAGGTCATTTCTGGCCATTCGAAAATATTTAATACATTAAATCCAAATCAATTCTTAAAAAACTCATTTTGTTTAATTCTTTTTGTAACATTAGATACAGTAAAAACGGACCTCTTTGTTATTATTGGAAATAAAGTTAAATATTTTGTATATTTTAATGGCTTCAACTGATAGTTCTCTGAAATCATTACTAAAATAGTTACAAATTACAAAATTTTCTTGCGTTGTTTCTGTACTATCAAGTGACAATATCTGATTCACATACGCTACCTGTAAAAGCTTTGTCTGATCGTTTATAAATTGGAAATCAATGTTTATAACGTTAAAAACTGGTTATTTTGAATTGTGGTTTCCCTACAAAAGTGACTCTTATAGAATAAAACACTTTTAAACTTAGAAAGACGACCTAAAATTACCCTTAAATAAATTGTTTAGATCTAGTTTTATTCTCAGGCTTAATTTTAATTTTTTAGCCAAATTCTGTTGCAAGTTTGTCTTCTAGAAAGAGTAAATATATAAATACAAGGTTCCTTTAAGGATTACATTTTTTTTTCTACAAAATTCGTAAAGAGCTGATCAAATTTTTTTTAATTAAAAACGTTTTTACTCACGAACAAACTCTCTAGCTCCGCAGTCCACATTAAAAGGATAATCACAGAGTTCGTTGTTTGGATCAGAAGCTTCAAATAGTAATCCATCAGAGCAGAACTTAGTTTCAGGAACCTTCAACATTATTATTATCAAATTTATAATCTTTTACAAATATTTATCGTTGATATTTTTTGATTTTTGCTAAAACAAAATGTTTTAAAATGTATTATTAATCTTCTCTTTATCAAATTCCTGGACCTTATTCACACATTCATAATATTTATCACACTGCTCGGGATCAGGAAAGAAACCGTTTGACTCCGGACACTCGAAGAAAGCGTCATCTAAAAAATATATAAAAAATAATATTTAATGCTAGATCTTGGTGCTAAAAAGTGAATATTCGCTCTAAATAGGGGATGAAAGGTCAGGGTAAGTATGGGAAACCCTATAGGAGCAGGTTTGAACCTGAATCTCCGGGTATAAACTATACTACTGGAGAACCTGTTCCTTCAAGGTTTACTTCAATCCAAGGATGTTTAATCTGAACTTTATTGTTCATAAAGCTGTTAAGGAAAATCTTTTTAAAAAGTTTTAAATTTTTTCTACTTACATACACCCTACAAAGTAGTGTACAGTAAACGCCAAATATTGAATTTATATATTTGACACTATTCGTTCGTACTAAACTTTAGCAAGGAAGTAAATTGAACCAAGGCATAGAGTAAATTAAACCAGAAAATGGAGAAATTCAACAAAAAAATTTAGTAAATTAAATCAGAAAATGTAGTAAATCAAACAAGAAAATAGAATAAATTGAACCAGAAAATGTAGTAAATTAAACAACAAAAAATACCTACCCTGAGACTAGTTAAAACAACTACCCTTAGCCTAGTTAAACTACCTACCCTGAGCCTAGTTAAACTACCTACCCAGAGCCTAGTTAAACTACCTACCCTGAACGTAGTTAAGCTACCTACCCTGAGCCTAGTTAAACTACCTACCCTGAGCCTAGTTAAACTACCTACCCTGAGCCTAGTTAAACCACCTACCCTGAGTCTAGTTTACCCTGAGCCTAGTTAAACTACCTACCCTGAGCCTAGTTAAACTACCTACCCTGTGCCTAGTTAAACCACCTACCCTGAGCATAGTTAAACCACCTACCCTGTGCCTATTTAAACTACCTACCCTGAGCTGCTACGACTGCTAGAAGAAGAAGAAAAGGTTTAAACTGCATCCTCCTGTCCTTGTCTGGATACAAAGTAAGACTGACCCGTGCTCAAATATAAACTTTCACCCTCGCCTGCCTTTGTTGTATAAATCTGTATTATATGTATAGGGGGCCTCAGAATATATGAGTTTAAACATTATAGAAATCATCATTTTATAAAATACAAATATAAACCATAGGTTGAAAAAATGTCTAATATTTTATAAAATTCTTTGTACACATACTGGCTGAGATACTTTATATGATACTAAACCCAACTTTATAATCCCAAAAGGGATATAACATTCTACCTAAAATCTAATTTTACTTTGAAACACCTTAAGTTTCAGGATATAGAAGAGAGGTTGCTCTATCCTTGATAACCATCAGATTGATCCTAAACTCGGAGAATATATCACGTTTTACCAACCTGGGTTCATCACGAACTATGAAAAAGAGAGAATTTCTAGTGTACGCAAAGAGTACGTTTCACGATTTTAAGTTTTCACGGATTTTATTCAATAATAATCCTAAACAATTCCCCCTCTAAACCTTTT